TTTCCATCATACATACTAGCGTAGGTTCACAATTTTCTAGCAGACAGGAAATTTTATTGTTTTAAAGATGGGTTTTCATCATCTACTCATACACAAACGAGGGGAGTAACGCTAGGCACAGTGCTTTCACCGGTGCTATTTAATTTACTAATGAGCACCATTCCACGTGAACAGGATATAACAACTTATGTTAATGCAAACGAATTCGCGTTTTTTGCAACGGCAGATAACTTTCAGACGTTATATGAGCGGCTGCAGACTTACCTTAGTATGTTGGAGAGCTGGCCTAATGGCAACTGCTCTCTACTTAATCCAAGTAAATGTGCCCTTCTTGTTTCCCGTGGCAATACCCTGTGCACAACTCTCTGTCTTACCATCATGAGGATATACCACAGGTGGAGTCTGTTAAATACCTTGGAGTAATTTGTCACACATCGCTTAGCTGGCGACCTCATATCGAATATATCGCCGCAAAAGGTGTGCGGCTCATTGGCATATTACGTAGGCTAAGCAACTACCACATTGGTATGAGAAGAGACATATTGGTAATGATATATTGCATGTACGTTCGTCATATTTTGAAATTTGGTTGTGTACTTTTCTCTGGAGTTCCAGCTTACAAGTTGTGGCCTCTAATTCTTCTGGAAAGAGAACCTTTGCGATTATGCCTTGGCCTGTCCAAAACAGTTGCTAACAATGTGTTGTATCTCGAATCGAGGGTCCCTCCGTTTTCTTGTAGAATATGCCTTCTGACTCTTCAGACATTCAAAAGAATTTATGAATCACCATTACGACATTCAGAAACATCCTTTATTGCCACCCCGGAATCACTTTTCGGTGCTAGATGGCCGCGATTTCGCATCCCACAAATTATATTTGTGCAAAATTTACTGGAGCCTCTAAACGTACGTATATGCGACATCATGCCGACTTGTGATAATACCCTGAGGAAATTCAATTTGGCGACACTTTTCCTAATATTGCCGAAATACTTTCCCATAATATTTTTGATGGTTTACTACAAGATCACCTGCGCAGTATTACAACAAACGTTATATTGCTACAGACGCATCGCGATATGACGAAAAGTCAGGGGTTGGTATTTTCAGCCTGATTTTAGATTGGATTTATTCCTTCGACTACCCAATTTTATACCCGTTTTTGTGGCTGAATTTCTAGCAGTAGCGCTCGCCTTACGCAAGTTAGATACAGCAATTACATTAGCTGTCATAATAACAGATTCCCCCTCTCTCTGCGCGGCACTTTCTGTTCGGGCTGATTATCAAGTAGCAAAGGTGTTCCGTGCACTAGTTCCAGCGCATTTGACAAAAGTCCGATTAGTTTGGGTGCCTGGACATAAAGGCTTATTTCTAAAGGAAATAGCCGATTCCTTTGCTAAGTCGTCAATTAGCGAACCGATTCTACCGCACTGTCCATTATCCGCTTATGTGACTCTTGGTCGATTCCGCAAACGTACGCTCATGGAAGTCTTCAGAGGTACAGCACTAACAAACTCTACAGAATATCGCAATTTAATATATCCTGGGCGAAGAGACTTTTGCCGCGCTTGTAAACAAGAAGTAGCTATCACAAGGCTGCGTTGTCGGGTGCCAAATCTAAATTTCGATAAACACGCGTCTGATCAGGCACCTTCACCACTGTGCGCGTTCTTCGATGGACTGGAAACAATAGATCATTTATTTTTTACCTGCAGGTGGTTTAACACAATACGAAAAACCCTTTTAGAAATAAGAAATATCTTTACGTGGTATTGGTATGGACTTATCTGTGCCTGTCTACTTTTCTTTTGGAGCTTCCATTTCTGTGTTCTCTAATTCGACAATATGCGCGGCCGTCCGGAACTATATTTATGAAACTAATGGGTTGACTAACTAACCTGTTTCATTATCCTAACAGCTTCACAAAATTACATACTTATGAACATCAGATTATCGCTCTAGTGTAAGAATAAATTAGTTTCTTTATTTAAATAATTGTAAGCATTACACTGAGCACAACACTTTCCTAGGTTATTGGTAATCTGTCTATTATACCTCCACTATTATAAATCTGAACAATAATTTTTATAACCACTCGATTCTTGGCCAATCCCTCATAGTGAGCATGCGCCACGATCAATAGGTGAAAACAACAACAACAACAACAACAACAGCAACAACAACAACAACACTTCCGGGGGACATCGCTTCAATAATTGATCATGCCACTTTTGGAAATGCGTTGAATATTTTCTTGGACATATGACTCATGTACTTACGCCAGTTTGTATGTATGCATTTTTGTTTATTCTTCTTTCATTGTTATTGTATTTCTTTTTATGGTAATTTTCTGTATAATTATTTATACTTTTTTTCACTATAGCTGTGCCCCTCTTATTGAGTTTTCAATCGTGTCTTCGTTTTTCCCCCTCTGCATCTTTGCCTGTAGAACTACATTTTACTTTGTTTAGCAATTTCATTACATAATAAAAAATGTTTTGATTTGCAATATTATTGTGCAACAAAAACCCCCCTATGTATTGCCCGAATAAACCTGTAGGTTCATTCCGGCATTACATAAAAATTATCATTACATAATAATAAAAATTACAATAAATAATAGATTACAATTACAATGCAATAGAAAAATATCATTACATATCAGTGTGTCCCCAGGATTATCAAAAAAAATTGGCAGATCCCACGTACTCTGTGAACCAACGATATGCGAAGCATGAACGCGGAAGGTCGACATATCACCTTAAAATAAGCACAACGTTACGAGGCGAACGTAAATTGTGTCATGCACGACTTCCATGCCATGTTATTTATGTTTAGATATCTCATTTATCTTCATCGTCAGTTCACGTCACGTAATACTAAATTTGGTATACGTGGAGCTAGCGAAACGGCCGCGAGCATGCTACCAGCGTAGTGTGTACTCATGTTTTACAAGATACGCATATAATGATTATTATGTTTGGACGTGTAATTTTCGTTTGTCATCTGTTCATGTTACCTGATACTAAAAATACTATATGTGGAGCTAGCGAAACGGCCGCGAGCACCCTATGAGCGTGTAATAATGTTGCAGATAACACTTATATCATGATTTTTATGTTTAGACCTGTCATTTACCTCTGTCGTCTATTCACGTCACGTGGTACCGAAACTCGTATAAGTAGAGCTAGCGAAACGGCCGCAAGCACGCTATGAGCGTAGCATGTAGTGATGTCCTTACATGACACGCATGTCATGATCATCATGTTTGCACTAGTCGTGTGTCATCGTCATCCGCTGACGTTTCGTAATGTCAAATTTGGTATATGTGAAGCTAGCGAACCAACAGCGGGCGCACCATGAGCGTTTCGTGTAGTCATGACTAGTCATAATATAAAAATCATGAGATGTATATTATTATTTCCACGTTAGCGTCATTCTCTCATGTTCGCTATGAAGTCATGTCATACCATATTAGTTTTTCAAAATGGCATGTGAACGGAACCATCGCAAGAGCATCAAGACCCTGAAATGTAACCCATAATATTCATGACGAACATATCGTGATTTTATGTTATGACTAGTCAAATATGCTTTTCATGCAGTCATGTTATGTCATACCAATTTTGTTATTCATACTATTATCGAGACGTCCAGGAGATTTTATAGTCATAGGAGGGATAGATAGATAGATAGATAGATAGATAGATAGATAGATAGATAGATAGATAGATAGATAGATAGATAGATAGATAGATAGATAGATAGATAGATAGATAGATAGATAGATAGATAGATAGATAGATAGATAGACAGACAGACAGACAGACAGACAGACAGACAGACAGACAGACAGACAGACAGACAGACAGACAGATAGATAGATAGATAGATAGATAGATAGATAGATAGATAGATAGATAGATAGATAGATAGATAGATAGATAGATAGATAGATAGATAGATAGATAGATAGATAGATAGATAGATAGATAGATAGATAGATAGATAGATAGATAGATAGATAGATAGATAGATAGATAGATAGATCAAAATCGCCAGTGAGGTGATGCGAAGTGCGTGCTTGGCACTCTACTCGTTGCGATGCATTGGCGCGTCAACGTCCACTTAGCCCTGTTCGGCGTAGTCAGCCGGACCTGTGCGTGCACGCATGCATGTTATTTTATGATGTGAGCAATTTACGTCATGTGTTTTCTCCGAAAAAATTGTTCTTTAGCTTACAGAACGCTCAAAGGTCACTCCACTCGATGCAGAAACCTCGTTTGCGAAATCGCTATTCAAACACATTGACGTAAGAATTGTGACACTTGGTTGCACTGGTTTTGTTTGTGCATGAAGGTATGTATGTTTCGGGCGTTTTTTCTGTTCGAGCAAAGCGTGACGTACCAAGCTGTTAACATTGTAAGTTTGCGCCCACCTTCTGGGTGTTTTTATCGTCCTTGTTTGTGCATGAGGAGCGTGCTCAATGCTTTAATCTGCTTGCTTTCTTTCTCATCACATTGTTTTCTCCTTGGCGCCAACCATTATTGATTCGGTTTTGCTGTAAAGCTCCCTTTTTTCTTGTTATTGCGTATAACGCATCACCGAGAAGTGTTTTACTCACGTCTTTTTTTTACCAATTAAGATAAATCTTTGTATACAGAGACTTCAACAAAGAACACCGGTATATATGAGGTATTCATCAACATTCCATATTTATGAATTTATTTCGCGCTGGTAGTAGGTTGTTATACGTCAACATTCTTTGTTGGCGTCAGGCGCCTATCATACCAAAGAAATGTCAGTATGACTTTTGACCAATATGAAGAGTGAATTTTGTTTAATTCAAGCGGCTTTTTCGTGTTGTACTTTTGACGTATATTTTTAAAGATGATAAGCAGGCGTTAGCCAATTAGCTAACAATACTTTGCCACTCCCACCTGTCTGCATAATATATACGGGAAACCTTGCACATCCTTTCGTTACCTATAGTTGCCACACTTTGCTGAACAGTATTGTCGCAATGAATATTCTTATTTTTGCAAGTACGTTTCCTATGTTTGTTGATGCCTTGGTGCCGACACCACACAATCCCTATATGAAAGGTTCCGTTGGAGAACTCTACCAAGTAAGATAGATGCTGTGTCTCAATTTAAAACCACTTTTAATGCAATTTATTCTCGCAATATTTCTACAACATGCAACAGCCGTAATTAGTTCACTATTTTACGGGAAAATACGTGTTTTTTGCAAGAAAATATAGGAATAGGGACCATTTAATATGTGCGAATTATATGAAATGCTGGAGTTTCTTACAAAAACAAATGGATTAAAAGGACACTTCTCCGTGCTGTCTTGGAACTTTGGTGTGCAAAAGAAGAATAACAGACGAGGAAAGAAAACAAACACAACACGACTCGTGCTGGCTTCTCGTCTTTGTCCACTGCTTGCGATGCTAAATATATCCTTCAATATAGTGAAATATGTCACCCACTAAGTTTCATGTTGTTGAATACTAGTTACTGTTGAAGGTCAGTAGAATAAATTCTGTCTGACTTCATGGCTCCATGTACGTGAGGTGAAGATAACCGTTCACCGTTGTTGATGTACTATGTCATCCCTTTTTGAGGCAAACGCGGCTCCTCGTAGTACCTCCCCACGGAATGCCATTGTGTCCAGCGCGACTGCGTGTGATATCAGGGTGTCACCCATGGGTGTATGCGTGCATGCGGTTACCCCGCTACTGGAATGATACGCGAAATACCACAAATTTGTCAAAGCAAGCTTGTCGGTTTAGTTCAATATGAATTGTTCTAAGTATTTTCGGTAAAATAATTTGCTTGAACATAAGCCAAACAAAAGCAATCTTTACGCGTAGACGGAATGTGGAGACGGAAAGGGTGCTTTCGCATGTTCTCGCTTATGTTTCTCGATTCACCAGCGTCTTGTCTTTAGATTAGGCGGAAAAAATATTCAAAGCAGTCGTCGATATGCCGTCGCGAACACACATTTACACACTGATGATGCAGAAATGTGCGTTGGTATGATCAATGGTTTAGCCACTATCGAACTATCAATCCTAGAAAAGAAACAAGCAACAGCGTTAATAACAGGAACTTTTATAGCTTCTTTCACTATATAATTCAAACATGTGTACTCACTTCAGCAAACTGTTGAATATGCGGAATTCATAATCATCATCATGATATAGTTCAAACATGTGACTTCACTTCAGCATATTGTTGATTATGCGGAATTGTGATATAGTTAAAACACGACCTGACGAAAAGCGATTTTATGAAGTTCCCGAAGTAACGAAAAGATTTCAATCACCTGGCAACTACTCGAAGTTTTTATTGTTGGCATCAAGCTGATTCATTGAAATGGTTTCGCTCCCAAATCAAATTTTAACAAAAAAATTTCTAAAAGAACCACAATATAAAGCACTGATTCACTTCTATAATTTTGAAAGAGACGGGCTCTCGTTCGGGCATGCGCTATACAAACATCAAGGTGCCAGACTCAGGGCCTTCGTCTTTCTTTAACGAAGGCAGCGCGTCGCACAAATGCGCGGTAGAACGGACTGGGCAGCCTGTAGCTTTCTTTCGTACCGAATGGTGCTAGATGTGCTGGAGGTTATTTTGGTAATTTCAAAAACAGCGCTGATCATCAGTTCCACTTTTCGCTCGTCCTGTCGACAGAGACTATCAACCATGTAATCGCACGATGGTAGGCGGTCATAACCCCGCGTGACTGTCTACCTCGCCTGCATCGGCCAGACGAGGTATCTCTTATGTCTGGGGCTATGCCGCCCGTTGTGGGAAAGTTTTCAGATGCGAAGGCATATGACTGCATCATGGGTAATGCGTAGCGCACTTAAAACCACGAGAAATTATGCATGCTAAATTTATTTGAACTGTTACCTCACTCTTCACGTAATCTTAAAGGAATAGGCGCAGTATCATTTGGGCCGTTTGCAGTGAGCAGCCACTTTTGAACCACGAAGTCATTAAAATGACACCTGATAGCAAGGTCCACTTGTACCACGTAGGGAGCCTACATAAGCGCCTGTTTTAGAGTGGCACCAGTCTTTGACACACTATATGCCGGCAACGCTCCACCGGCCGCCAAAACACAACGTTGCCAGAACACAATGCCACGCTATTGCGCCATATTGTAGCCCACACTGCATTTACGCTTGGCTCTAATTCATTCTCGAGAATACGGCCTCGCGTCGGCGGCAACGCGAAGCAGCAGATGCATCAAGTGTTAAATGTGTCCGTTGGTGGCATCCAGCGTTGGTGTCAAAACGAAAGAGTAGATTCGTCGAGTGTGGAAAGCAACAGTCGATGTCGTCTAGCGCCGGCGCCAACACGAAGCAGTAGATGCGTCAAGCGTGTAATGTAAACGTCGGTGTCGTACAACGTCGGCATCAACAAGAAGCATTAAATACATCAAAGGCCCTGGTAGCACAAAAAAATCACATCATATCCTTGAGATGAATTATGACAAGTGGGACAAAGCGGATGGACGAACGCATGCACAGATGCATGAACTAATGCAAACGGAAGCACAGACGAACGAATTGTCGGATGGACGAATGGACAGACAGACGCACAAATGGACGGACAGATGGACAGATGCACGGATGAACGGATGAACAGAGAGACAGACGGATGCACGAACGTACGCACGTACGGACGGATGGTCGGACGGGAGAATGAATGAACAAATGGATGGACTGATGGGTGGACAGACAGACAGAGAGACAGCCAGACAGACAGACAGACAGACAGACATACAGACAGACAGACAGACAAACAGACAGACAGACAGACAGACAGACAGACGGACGCATGAACGGACGGACGGATGGACAATGTTGGATGCCACCGACAGTTACATTTCGCGCTGAATGCACCTAAGTGTTCGTGTTGACGCTGAAGCTAGACAATGCAACCATATGTTACGCTTCAGCTTGATGCATGTAACGTGTTGACGGCGACGCTAGACATTGCTGACGGTTACGTTTCGAGCTCACTACGACATCACCATATGGAGTGTCGCTGGCTCGGAGGCTCTGTGGAGAGCTCTCTTCAAGAGGCTGTAGACTGTGTTGAAGTCTACATAAATAAAATGGGCCTCAAGCTCTCACCAGCAAAGTCCGAACTTCTCTTATATCGACCCACGAGACAGGGACCCAAACCCAAAAAACTGGCAACCACTGGCTGACATCGACATTGGGTTGCACACGGCATCGGGTCAGCGTATTCCAAGGGTGGACTTCATACGCGTTCTGGGCTTGATTATCGAGGCTAATGGACAGAACGGCCACACGATCGACCAACTGACTTCTAAGGTGGAAGGGTTCATCCGACTAATCTCACGCATTTCCAACAGTCGGGGTGGTCTTCGAGAGCACAACCTCCTCAGACTGTTCCATGCATTCTTAACGAGCCACATAAGCTATGTCGCATCTATGCACAGGTGGAAACTCCAAGAAAGAAATAAATTGAACATTTTCATAAAGAGAAGCATCAAAAAAGTTCTTGGCATTCCTATACGCACAAGCACTGAGAACAACACGTTTGAAGGAATTATAGAGGCTCAACAAACGGCACAGGTTGCCAGGCTTTCGATCACACCAGAGGGGAGAAAAATTCTGAGTGACACTGGAGTCAACCCCCTGACGCTCGAAGTGCAAAATACGCCACTCGACGAATATATGCGCTCTCGCATCAATGTGTGCCCCCTTAAACGAAATATGCATCCACAGTTCAACGCGGGCAGGCGTGTCGCTCGAGCCTCCTCTCTTTCAGCTCAAACTCAGAAACACTCGTCTGTTTCATGCTTTGTTGATGCCGCCCAGTATGGCGTTTCCGCTCGCTTTTCAGCAGTATCCGTCAATACTAAGGGTCAGATTTTATCCTCGGCGTCGGTTCGAACCACTTCTTACAAAGCAGAACAGATGGCCATTGCACTAGCCCTCTTTGCTCCACAAAGGACCGATATTTATGCGGACTCTAAATCCACTGCTAGGGCCTTCGCTTCTGGTTCCGTGTGCAAGGTAGTTTTGAGAACTCTCGCTCACAAGGAACTCACCCGCCACACTATTATTTGATTCCCTGCTCACCTTGACTTGAGGGTCGGAGGCCTTCCTAATGTCAACGAGCTAGCCCACTCCAAAGCACGGGGCTTCACTTACCGCGCCGGGACTTGTGCTTCTCAGACAGAGTAGTCAGCCCCCAGCCTTCATTTTAGGGACATTTTGACTACCTTCAACGAGATCACGAAGTATTATCAATTAGGCCTTAGGTCTTTTCCATTGCCACACGAAAAGGTGTCTAGGCCACGGGCAACCTCTCTTCGCACGCTTCAGACGGAAACATACCCTAGCCTCGTAACCTATAGCCATTACTCCGATATTTCAGAACTTTTTCCGGATGGCCAGAATTGCAGTGATTTTAACCAAATGCTCTGGAGGTGCCCCTCTTTACAAAAAAAATGAAGAATTTTCTGAAAACTCCTTTCATTTATTGCTCACGAGTCTGGTTCTCATACAACTCAAGGCTGTCCAGAAGGCCCACGATGCGATGGTGAGGCTGGGCCTCCCCGTCCCAACGTGGGAGCGGCCCGCGATCCTACCCCTATAAAACAGGAGTGGAATCCTTCAGGACCCCAATAAAAGCTTTTTATCTATGCATCCATCTATGTGGCCAGGCGGGATATTTTACGAATGAAAGCAAATGAAGGAGGCCTAGGTTGAATTTTATTAAAGTTTTACTGGCAATGCGATTTTACTTGGACAGTATAGAACAGACGAAGTTATTCTGTACAAGTTCTAGTGAAGCGATGAAGCTATCATGGTAAGGATCCCACACAGTTGAGGCATATACGAGCTTAGATTTTAAAATGTTTTATACAGGAGCAATTTTAGTGTTGAAGGTGCTTTGGAAATTTACGATATGTGTAGCCTAACATGCGATTGGCATTATTAGTAATGTATTCGATGTGTTGTGTCCAAGATAGGTTCGTCGGCATAAGAACACCTAAGTATTTACATGAGTTGACTGCATCGAGCGGGATGTTGTTTAAGTAGTAGGTAAGTGGGGCACTGGATGATTTTGT